TCGACTCTAAGTTGGAGATTTCCTCATGTATAAAGACAAAAAGTAACTTTAAGTAAGGGAAGGGAAGTACAGAGGGCTTGTTACTTTTGGTGATTTCACATTGGATAAAGATAAAAGGTAAGGGAAGGGAAGTACAGAGGGCTTGTTACTTTTGGTGATTTCACATTGGATAAAGATAAAAGGTAAGGAGAAGGTATCCCCTGTTTGTCGTTCTTTGAGAAAAGTAGAAGATTTACATTATCACTTTCTCGGGTTTAAAATTATGATTATTTAATTTTTCGGGTTATTTAAATCTGGCATCCCTGCGAAGTCAAATCTTCGTACAACAGATAACACGGCTCTCTAACCCCATAATTCTGGACGTGGTTAAAAATCTAGGTAACTAATAGCCCTGTAAAGAGTGTTTTCATTGTCGGCATTTTTTTTATATCGCTATAGCCATAAGGATTTTATCTTCTTGATATTTGGTATAGAAACAGAAGCCAGAATTTCTAATGATTTGCGATTGTGTTATGTGAAGTGATGAGACAAAGACATACCCTGGTCGGACAGGAAAGCAAACCGTGGTACTTTGACATTTCAAAGCAAAGATCCTTACATTACTGTTATTTTGTCTTTACCTAATAATGTTGAAGACGAAATGCTTTTCATTTTGCTATCAGGGTTCAGAAACAAATGTCCTGGTAGTTTACATTGTTTTCGAGTGATGTGACTTCCGGTGGCAAAGTGGTATGTATAGAAAACAATTAAACCTGTGAGCTCTTAGGAAATGCTTTAAAAAAGATAAAATGTGCTTTTGTAGTTGCCAATATTTAGAGTTTCAATTTGAATAAAAAGAAAAACATTGACACAATAATTGGTCATTTAGTCTGGGAAAGAGCAAGACAGATAGTCAGATACAACAGAGAAAAGGAAAAGATATAGGACCTACCAGTGGCACCCTCCAACCACCTGCTAATATTTAGATATAGCAGTCTCAAACTATAATGACATTGGTAAAACAGCCAAAGAAAGTTTTGAAAAATAAATCAATCTTTGATAATACTCAGATTCTCCGTAATGTTTTGAGCCTTTTAAAAGAAGGGGAAAAAAAGTACTTTTTGTCTTCTCGAGACGTCAACCTGGTCCCTTTTTTTTGATGATCAGCAGCGGCCCCTCCAAGTTTAGACCCCCAGGAATTCTCCCGGGATGAAATGAGATGATGAAGTAAATGCCCCCCCCCCCCTAATGATTTCTTCCCGGACACACGAAAAGAGCATGCTGATGGCACACGCAAAAATGGAGTACAGGTCAAAACTCAAATATTTCAGAATATTTTAGTCTTCCTTCCCCTGAATAAAGTGGTAGCAAAATGAGTTTAGATTTTGTTCTAGTACGAGTTTTAAGATACTTTGAATCACAAATTATGGGTCATTTTATTACAAGTGGCAGAGATTAGGGGTGTAGCTAGAGAGTAACATAAAAAAGAAAAGAGGGAGGAGAGATAAGGTAGACGGATGTTTGACTGGAAAGAAAAAAGAGTATATCTCATCACGGCACA